TTTATTAAAACATTTTGTCACATTTGACATTGCTATATAGACCTAGACTTGTGGGGTTAGAAATCATTTATGTCCAGACATTGAATTTGAAGGAACTAAGTAGAATTTATGCCCCAATTAATCTATGACTGAATCAGTGAACTAAGATTTTCAAGAAAGCTTTTTATCCTCTGATGACCAGTATCAAAATATTTAACCAACTCCTTCAAATTTATCAAAAAGAAACTCATTTTCCTTTCTGTACTGGTAATCCTCAAAACATAGTAGTGTACCTAGAAAGACTCTTTACCTCTTTAAATACCCACTTCTAAAATCTGAATTTACTATACCCTATTTTCTTTTCCTTAACCGTCCCAGCTTTTGAAACAGAAGAAAGAAATTCATTACTTCTCATAGGCATGCAGTGAAAAGGAACTAGGTAAAATACTCCAGATCTGCATCTCTTCTGGTACAGTATTTTAATGCATCTATTTTGACTAATTTAAAATAGTTCTTTTCCCACCCCTCATCAGCTCTTACATTAATTCCTGTCTTTTTTTTACAGTAAAATGTGGCAAGAGTTGCTTTTTATTTCTAAAGTACCCAGATTTTTTGACACTGAACACACTTTAAAACCCAATTGATTAGGATGCTGTCAGTTGTTAGAAGATCAAAATGCAACGTCTTTACACCAAGATAAATTTAGTTAAATAAGTATTTACTGAAGAGAATTACAGCTTCTGGAATAGATGGAGTAGACTTAATTTTCCACGCATTACGTATGAATAAAAACCTTGCACATCGCATATAACATGAATAAAAGACTCTAAATGGTGAAAAGAAGAATGTAGACCATGAGTGTAAATGAAGAATAGGTGAGGAGCTTAGGTTTTGACCCTGACTCCATGTTTATAAGGTGCACCCCTACACTGTATGAGGTAATACTAGATGTGGCATAGCGGAAATTCAGGCCTTTCATCATTGTTCAGTAGTAACAAGACCACCACCTCACACAATGTCAGTCGGGTGCATGTAGGAAGAAATAAAGAGGTACTTCTTACTTTTCCAGATATGATATCAGCAGAAGCCTAATAGGGAGCCAAAACACATATCCCTAACCAACAGAAACAAAAAGCTACCCACCAATTAAATGTCATGGAATCCAAGTGAAAAGCCTGAGTTTTCACAACCACATTGCCAAAACAAGTCAGTGTTCCCCTATCCACCTGGAATGGTGTGAAATATGTATGCTAAAACAAAAGGTTAAACAATATCCAAAGTAATGTAAGAAATAGTAAAAATGCTGAAGTGTCTATTGACAGTTATTTATCACACCAAGGTTCAAGAAGACCTCAAAATGAATGAAGACCAGTAGACACTAACAGCAAAGTGGCTTATAAGTTAGAATGATCTGACAGAGACAATAAAGAAGTCATAATAAAAATTATAAGGCAGCCATCACAAACACATTTGAAATAAGACAAAAATTATAAAGCCTTAGTAATACATAATTGGAAATTTTAGATACAAAGACACAACCACTAAACTTTTTAACAAATAATACTGAGAAAACTGAGCAGCCACCTACAAACATGTGAATCTATTATACAGCTTATATGCTTCCCCAAAATTAACTCAAAATCTATCATAGACATGAATGTAAAATATAGAAATATTTAAAAAGAAAATTAAAACATAGGAGAAAATCTCAGTGATCTTCATTTCATGCTATTTAGAAATCACACCAAATGTATGGCATATGAAAGAAATAACTGACAAATTCGACTTCATTAAAATTAAGAACTTATACCAGTATAAGGGAATAAGAACACAAGGCAAAAACAGGGAGAAAATTATATGCAATAGACATAAATAAACCAAGAACTTTTATAACTGAACAATAAAAAGACCAATAAAGAGTGGACCAGCGACCTTTATAGAAATCTCACCAAAGAAGAGATAAAGATGATAAATAGGCCTATGACAAATACTGAGTATCATAGTCAGTTTTCCATTGCTGTAACAAATAATTGAGATAATGAATTTATAAAGTGAAAACATACACTTGGGTTCATAGCTGTAATGGTTTGACCTTGTTGCTCTGGGTGTTTGATGAGGCAGCACATCATGATGGAGGTGCATGGTGGTGCAAAAATGTTCACTTCTTGACTAGGAAGTGAAAGAGAAAAAGAGACTGGGTACCACACTCCTCTTCAAAGACATATCAGTAATGATTTAAGTACTTTACCACTACTCCAACCCATTAAACCTATTAACAGTGATGCTCTGGGGACCAAAAGTTTACCACATGGACCCTTGGGAGGTACTTAAGTTCCAACATAAAGGATCATACATCATCAGGGATATGCCAATAAACAAAATACAGATACAGCATTATATGCATAATAGCATGGCAAAAATCGAAAAAAACTAACACTGCAAAATGCTATAAAGGATGTAAAACAACAGAAACAATTATTTACTGTACAGTGGAATGCAAAATATTCCAGCCATTGAGTTTGGCAGTAACTTACAAAAACTAAGCACACTTTTACCATAAAAATGTAGCAATCACTCTCTTTGGTATTTCTCCAACTGGTCTGAAATTGTATGTCAAGTCAAAAACTTCTACATAGATGTTTAGAATAATTTTCTTCAAAATTGCCAAACTTGAAAGAAAGAAAATGGACTTCAGTAAGGGAATGCATGAATATACTGTGGTACATGCAAACAATGGAATATTATTAAGTATAAAAAATAATAAACCATTAAAATACATGGAGGAATATTATATGCATATTAGTAACTAAAATAAGCCCATCCAAAAACGCTACATGCTGTATGCTTCCGGATACATGACTTTCTGCCAAAGGCAATATTATAGATATAATAAAAAAATATATCAGTGGTTGTAATGGGTTGGAACAGGGAAAGATTAAATGGTAGACTAGAGAGGATTTTAGGGAAATGAACCTCTTCTACATGATTCTATATTGTGGGTTTATGTCATTAAACACTTATTAAAATCCACAAAATACACAATACGAAGAATAAAACCTAATGTAAACTCCATATAAGGCCAATTTTAAGGATCATACAAATTGACTCAAACAATTTTTTTCACACAAATCACAAAAACTTCAGTTGGCAAGCTAGACATCAAGAAGAGCCAGTTGTTTAATTCTAGTCAGAAAGCTGGGCCTGGGATATAGCTCAGTGGCACAGGGCCTTCCTGGCAAACATGAGGTCCTGAGTTCGATTCCTAGTACCAAAAGAAAAAAAGAAAGAAAAAGAAAGAAAGAAAGAAAAACACTTGGCCAGGCTGGGATACAGGGAAGAATGCATATTTTAGTTTGGTCTTTGGGGAAAAAGAATGAAGACCTACTTCAGGGCTAGGGATATAACTCAGTGGCATAAGTGCCTGCTTCGCAAGCACAAGATCATGAGTTCAATCCCTGATACAGTAAAGAAAAAAAAAATTAAGAGTCACTTCAAAGGCAATCAGGCAGGAGGAATTCCTCTTCATTTGGGAGGGGATCCGGCCTTCAAATCATTGAGTTAAATGTTTAGCTCATTCACAATAAATGTTTAAACAAATACATGGCACACCATGGTACAGACTGACAAGTATGATTAGCAACTCTTAGGTAAACAAAATATATCCTTAATTTGTTTAAATTATGATTGATGATTGACATATATATTAAGAACCTGCATATGTGATCCTCAGTGTATTACAGATAATATTTAAGAAAGCTGTTATATAAATAGGGAAGAATAGAGTGGAATAAAGAGAAACTACTGCACTTCATTTAAATTGGCAAAATGTTAACTTAGTAGACTGAGATATTGTATATATGTACCTATGTGTGTATATTATATATATATATATATATTTGTTTGTGTATTTTTAAAATGTATTATTTATTTTTGTACATACTTAGGTGTAATGTAATGTTTCAATTTTTGAAGACATTGGGTAGTGATCAACTAAAGGAAACTATGTATCTATCAACTATACATTTCAGTAGTTAGTGTAATCCACTTAAATTGTACAAAAGAAGATAAACTAAAAAATAAATCAAAATGGAATTGTAAAAAAAAAATCACTTACAGAAAGGCAGAGGAGCTGAAAACAAATAAATTAGAAAAAAGAACAGAAAGCAAATATATAAAGTGGTAGATTTATGCATTTACATATCTGTAATTTGGTTAAATGTAAAATATTTAAATATATAATTTAAAAGATAGTGATTAATAGGTGGTAAAAAAATAAAAGATCTAACTAAACAAGAAACAAACTACAAATAAATATATATATAATTATATAATAGATTAAAAGTAAAATGAGAAAAAATGATAAGCCATGCAGACATTACTCAGAAGAAAATAACAGTGAATATATTAATATCAGATATTACAGATTTCCAAGCAATGAAAATGACCGACAGAAGGAATTGTTACATAATGATGGAGGTGTCACTTTTCCAAGAAAACACAGATATACTAAATACCTACACACATTATAAGGAGCACAAAATACAAGAAAATATATGAAATTAAAAAACGACAAAATCAATAGAAATTTAAAGGTAAACAAATTGACAGTAATACTTGAAAATTTCAAAACCCCTCTCTCAGCAATTGATTTAACATTAAACACAAAATCTTGAAGGATATAAAATAACAACATCATCAACCAAGGGGATCCCTGGCCAAGATGAATTTTTCAAATCTTTCCATTCAGCTTTATTTTGTTTCTAAAACTCACTGTGATTGTTACCAGAGGCAGCCAGCGATACACAGACCACAGCCTGAAAGTTTTTTTGTTTTGAAATCTTCTCTACTGAATCAACTATTTCATCACTATTAACTTTGTCCTTCTACAAATTCTTTATGGCAAGTGCACAATGCATCCAAGTTATTTGTCATGGTGTAGAAGGATGGCTTTTATCCAACTCTCCAATAGAATCCTCATATTCCTCTGAAACTAATTCTTTTGTTCCACCTTCTCAGCTCTCACCGGGTGCCCTCATTATTTAATCACTTTCAAAAGGCCATATATTTTCATATTCTTGCACTCGGAAGTGTCAACATGAATTCTGAGGAGGACATAATCATTCCAACTACAACACTACTTTTGAATCATCATCTGAAAATTTGAAGATTTCACAAATAGGACTTCTCAAATGATTCATGGCCTAATGAAATAGGTAAGTGCTGATTATCGTTTATAAATTTTATTACTGTTAGAAGTGTTAGTGGGCAAAAATGGCCCTGTAAGTTTAAGTATTATTTTATAATTTAGTCACTATTATTGTCTTTATCATGTAACCTGAAAACATAAAACTGCTATCTTAAAAGGCTTAAATTTTTCTGCATAGATTATCTAGTTAATATACAGTGGTACCTTGGTTTGCAAATGCTTTTGTTAGCAAACAATTTGGTTCTCACACAGAAACATTTGGCAAAAGGTTGTTTTTATTTACAAACTCTGAATTTTGTGACAAACACGACCATGCCCATCTTTCCTGCACAAACAAAAATGTTGCCATCTTTTCCAAAATCATAGAACAAATTAAATTCATGAATCAAGGTACCAAACACTGACTATTTGCATTAACTTTAAAAATTTTTTCATTGCTATTTTACTATTATATAATCATTTACAGAAAGTATTTTCTTTTTTTCACATTGATAAATATCTCGGTGACAAACATCATATATTCATATGATAACAAATTCAGTTTAAATTAATTCATATTAATCAGTCTTCATTATTGTTTTTTTAGTTTTTTTAATTTTTAAAATAAAAATGGCAAAAAATATTAGTTAATTTATATGCACTTGTTTATGAAAGTGCATATTAAGAAAAATTTATAGCCTATAACATTGACTACTCTCAGCTGATTAGCTTTACTGGTAGTTTCTTAGAGTCATCAGATTTAATCAGCCAAAAATTCAAAGACACCAGCTGGTCATAGTGGTGCATGACTGTAATTTCAGCACTCAGGAGGCTGAGACAGAAGGCTCACCATGATTTTGAGGCCTGCCTGGGCCACACAGTGAGTTCAAGGCCAGCCTGAAATATATAGTGAGAACCTGCATCAAATCCTCCTCCCACCAAAAATTCAAAGATGCCCAAAGCTATTGAATCAAGTATTCGGCATTTTTAGCCTTGTAAGACCAGTTTCATATTCAAAGCTATGAGATTTAATACAGTTTCTTGGAAAGACAAAGGTCAAAATTTTATTCTTCAACTTTCATTATATAATGACAGAATAAAGTTCACATTATCTTATATCTTCAAGGTTTTTCAATTCCCACCTTCATTTACATTCAATACCACCTATGTTTCATAAACTAACTGTGCCTGCATTGTTATACTTATGATATTATTGTAAGATTCTTCATTAATGAGAGAGTAAATGCACCTTAATAATTGTTATATAAATAGAAAACAATTTTTTCTTATGTCTTTATTCTGGATTTCAGATTAATAGAATTGACCTATTTATTTCATATGACAATAAATTTTCCTTTGCTAAGTTATTAAAAATATTTCCAACAGCTAGACCCAATTAGCAAGAATTGTACTAAAATCTGAACTGAAAATCTTTTGAGATTTTTGTTAAATTTAACTCTTAATTGCATTATAATTTTATTCACCTTGACTCATTCAGATCAGAATAAGGGTTAAACAAATTGTCTACAATTATACTTGATCTAAAGATTATGTTGAAATTAGAATCTGAATCTGGTAAAACATGATTCAATATTTAGAAGCTGTTAAGTACTTTTAAGGGTTTGAGATTTTACTCAGCCTGAAAGCTAGCAAGTTGTCTTGTCATGGTATCATAGATCCTGTTGGAAGACATAAAAATCCTAGATCAAGGAAAGTATTGACTATTATACATAGTAACAGCAATAGCCAGAGTATCAGCATTTGCAGAGCTTCCTTTAATTCTGATTGCCAGAAAACAATAGGAAAAAGAACAGGTGACATTTACACATAACATAGGTTGCCTTACAGGAGGAACTTTTGGCTTAGAGTAACTAAATCTTTTAAAATAAGCTCTCTCTAGTCTTTGCTTGAGAGAGAAACAGTACTTTTCAGTGTTGTTCACTCTGGAAATATTTTAGAGACTATAGTGTCCTAAACATGTACCTCTGTTTGAAATGTATGTGGAAAAATCACAGACACATTAAGAATTTTCTCCCAACATAGATATACCCACATGTTATATTTTAATAGTAATAATCATAAGCTACATGCATGCAATATTCATTGTGTACTAACACTGTTTTCTAATTTTTTATTTTAAAAAGAAGAAAAAACATACACACACACAAAGGCCAAAAAGCAATGAAAAATGATACAGAATTTCAAAACAAGGTTATAGGAAATAAACAATAGTCTTTATAACACTGTTTTTAACAGCTTTCTCCCTATTAACTCTTGGAACTTTCTTCCCACAACCATCTGAGTTAGGTACAAATATCATCCCCATTTCACAGGTTAAGATACTAAACAAAGAGGTCTTTCCAGATGTCCCACAGAGAATGAGTGGCAGAGCTGGGATATAAACTGCTAATATAAATTCTACATGATTTCCTTATTTTCTCTGCCACCCTGCTGTGATATGTGATGTGTTATAAGGTACATTATACTATGTGATATGTTATACAATATATTCATTCTTAAATTGACATATCTCATATATAAAACTTTAGGTCTGTGTCTCTTGAGGACATTTGCTACTTAATATGCCTTTCCCATCAAGCTAACGAAGTCTTGAACAGTTTATGCACTGTGTTGTGAGTCAGGAAGACTGTAAGAATGAACATATAGAGAATATTATTGAAAGGCAGTCAATGGCCACACCACAGGAGAGAAGAAGATTTTAGACGGGATCTTATGTCATTCATAATCTCCTCATGAAAACTTGGACATGCCCCAGTCTTTTTCCTTTAGTTTCTGAAATCTGGATGAATATCTGTCACTGTCTTTACATTTAATATTGGTCTTTCAAATTGCTTTAACTTAATTTCACTTTTTAAATTAACATAATTTTACTAATGTACAACACCTCAATCTCCATCGCTGCAGCAAATATATTCTGGGAGGTTTTATAAAATATTATAATGAAGTTCATATATTGTCTTTCTCTGCTCTTCTCCTTTTCCATCATTACAGTGAAAAATGAACCCTGTCAAAGTTATGAAGTGAGGTAAGTTTGACTTGACTTGTTATTAATTAATCCATAATGGTCTTTCGTAAGCACCAGTCCATATCTAAATTCTCATTAAAGCTCTTGACAGGTATTAGTTTGTCTTAAGAAATGCACTAGCTTCCTCATTGTCTACTGAAATGAATGACTGTGAGACAAAATTGCACGACAAGGGACTAAATGTGAAGGTTTGCGATATTGTGAAAAGAATGCAGAATTTTTACTCAGACACAGTACTACTTTTGAAACACAGTACTATATAAGAGAAAACTGGAGAATCAGTGACCAATTTACAATGACTCATAAGGAGTAGGAGCCGCAAAAGTCAAATTAGAAGTATTAGTCTCTCACAAGACTTGGCATACAGGAAATATTTAACTATTTTACATTTTAATGGTAAGGGAAATGGGGAAAAAGACAAAATAAAATATGTAAGTTAAGGGAGCAATGTCTATGTGTACTTATAATATCCAGGTATTATTTAGATCTTTATCAAATGAAAGCCAAAATATTAGGCATACAACAGTTGTAATTTTGAACACTACCTGGATATTCAATGACATAACAAATTTCAACTGCAAAACTATTATTATGATTAAAGTGTTTTAAAAAGTGTATATTCTAGCCAAACATAGTGACACACACCAGAAATGCCAGCAATCTGGGAGGCTGGGGCAGGAGGATCACAATTCAAGCTAAGGCTGGACAACTTAGCAACATAACAAGACATTGTCTCAAAATACAAAAGAAGAAAGGTCTGAGGATGTAGCCGGTCCTGTGTTCAATCACCAGTACCATAAGTACATAGTATATTTTGAACTATATAAACTGAACACTTCACAAATGGGAAAGAGAAGTAGATAGGGTTTAAATAGGGCAGAATTTGCCACAGGCTGGTAGTGTTTTAGGATTGGGGATGGATGGATACCTGAGCACCAATCATACTTACTCGTTCACACATGTGCTTGTCAAAAAGTCTTCACAATAAACAAAGAAAATAGATAAGTAGCTCTGCCAAAAGTAGGAAGAAGAGGAAGGTAAAGTTGCAGATCATGGCAGAAGCAATTAAGCTACCCTGATGCGGGGAACCCTTCAAGACTCAGGAGATTTGAAGAGTGGTGCAAATATGTGTTTCTGTAAGAAAAGCACAAGAAACCAAAAATTTTGTGCCATAAATTTCTCTGGAGTCAGGCTCTTACACATTTGATGGTCATCATGAATGTCACACAGGATAAAAATGTATTTGTATTTAAAGTCAATTACACAGACCTCATTTTGAATTACAGCTCACTAACCCCTTCAAATTCTTGTCGCAGTTAATAACTCTAATCAAATCTTAGCTTTGTTTGTGACGTTGCTTGCTCTTAATTATTGACTACCCAATAGTATATTTTTCCTTGCCCTTGAATGGCCTCTTTCCTATGATGATTTTTTATATTTCTGGAATATGCTTACTAATATAAAATCTTTCTTTTATTTCTTAGGACACATGTTGTTGAATACAGCATAAACCTTCTATTGCCTTATGTGTTAATTCAATCATGTACAGTTTAAACCCATTTGACAAGAAAAATATCAAAATCATGCTGGAATTTGTGTAGGCTTGACCAAAAACACAGCTAAAACAATTTCTTAAAGAAATTCTCAGTTCTCACACAATCAAGTCGAACACTACATAATTGATCTTAATTGATTGTTAAGATGAAAGCAACAACTAGATAGAAGACACTTTCATTCAGATCAGTTATTTTAATGACTAAATAGACTGCAGTGATTCAGGTTTGAGTGATTTATTGCTACTGAGATGAGAAGTAAATCAGCTAGTGAGGGATGCACCGTTTTTTATGAGATATATATATATACATATATATATATAAGATTCATGTAGAGAGGGAGCATATAACAATTGTGAAACAAATATATCTAAGAGCACTTTTATATGTGGTCCAATTTAACTTTCACCACAATCATATTACATACTGTTGTCCTGATTTCATGTTGATAAATTGCCCCTTTAAGTAGTGAAGTTTAATGCCTTCGCCAAATTTACACATATGATGAGTGCTGCATCTTTGAACTGAAGCTTGGATTTTAATTCAGTGGTTTTTCTATTATTCTCAATTCCCATCTGCAAATATCATCAATATTTCACAGATATATTAGTCCTAAAAATTCCCCCTCATTAATTCATATTTCAAAAACTACCTTGCCATCCATTTTACAGTTATTGATATGAAAGATGATGTTTCTTTGTAAGTTATAAAGAAAAGAGGCTTATTTTGGCTAATAATTCTCAAAGGGGCAAGTCCACGATCATGGCACTGGTATCAGTCTGTTTCTGATAGAACCTTCTTCGTACTGTATTGCAATAGAAAAAGAAGAAGGGAAGCTTGTGTAGGAGAGAGAGATAAGAGAGTCTGTTTTATCTCAACTCACCCTTGTGGTAACTAATCCAACCTCACAAGCTTTAACTCACTCCCAAGAAATCTAATCCAATCTTTAAACAACTAATACAGTGTCTGCAAAAAGACCTACATTCATGAGTGTAGTGCCCCAAGCCTAAAATTACCTTCCAGGCTCCATCTTTTAAAGATCTCACCACATCTTGATACCATTATGTTGGAGAAGAAGATATCAGCGCATGAAACTTTTAGGGACAAATCATTTCCAAATACTAGTACCTGGGAACTTATCAAAAATACAACTTCTCAATCCTCATCACTAACCAAGAAGGTAGGAAGGGTTATCTGTTCTTTTGTCTTCTCAAACTTCCTAGGTCATTCTGATGTAGGCAGAAGTAAGAACCAGAGATTTCTCCAGTGATGGACCACCTGGTAGGTGGCCAATTGTAATGCCATCATAAAATAATAGAAGTTTATAATAATAAATTTGTAGTTCTAATGCCAATTTCAGTGGATGTCTCCCAAGTTCCATTTTAATATCTTTTTAACTAAATGGGAAGAAATGTGAGCAAGTCTTTCTAACAGGATTTCTCACTATCAAATGGAAACCCATTATCTCATGCTTCACGAGAATGTAGATATTTTTGACAGATTTATTGTACTTGTCAGCTATCCTCCTGATTAGTTTTCTGCAAACAGATATTTTTAGTTTAAATTTATCATACTATCATCATTTTTAATAATTTATGCTCTCCTTTGTTTCATTATTCCCTGGTTTATCCATTATCATAAATCAGTTTCACACATAATTATGGTCACTATTTTAAATATTTGCACATCTGAGCTCCTCACAAAATATTCTGATATGTATTTCAAGAATTCTAGACCTTCTACATATGGTCATTGCATGTACTTCATTAACTGTATCTTTCTCAGAGTATGAAGTATTAATTTCCATGAAAATTTGCATAAAGCTACTAAATATATATGATAGTGATTATGTATTCATAGGTATGAAAGAGTATATTGAGGGGAGGTATTTAGAAAACTAATTACTGCATTAAAGCCCAGCAAACACATTTTCCTGGTGTAACTTCTCTGACAGGACTTCTCGTAAAATGACTAGCACATTGCATTCAGCCCATAATCCAAGCACTCATTTCCCAGTTGTTTTTTTTTAATCTCAAATGGCCTTTAGTCCACCTGCAGGGTTGTGAGGACTTCCCTGTGGGCCAGTCATACTGAGCCCAAACCTGCCTGAGATGTGAACATTCCCAAAGCCTGGGGGAAGCAAGCAACAGATGTTAACAGGAGATGTGAATAAAATTTTTCTCTGTTTATATTAGTGTCTACTTAAATACAATGCCTTCCATTGTAAAAGTTTACAAAGTGAAGAGAAGATGCAAGGAGAGGACCACTAGCTGCTACATAGGGGTAGGTTTTTCCGATGTTGCTGCTTTCTAACCTAGAAGTACAGAGTCTTAGACTTTATAAATTGAACATGCCCTTCCAGGTGACTACTGTAGAAAGGTACCTTGGGAAGATATGAAGAGAATATATTTTACCTAACAGTTTCTTAGCATTATTTATAAGTTTTAATACAGAGACTTATGGTATATGGTCCTTTATTTTGTCCTCTTCTTGCAAGTTCCACAAATGTTATAGATGGCCCAGTAAAGGGTATATTATCAAATAATCAGTTCATATTTGCTTTGCTAGCAGTAATATGATACTGCCAGAAGAAGATGATATTATGGTTACCAGTGCCTTCATAAATTCACCTTAGATTTAAATGGCTTCCTAATTTTCCTCTTGTAGATATCCTAAAAGTAAGAGAGCATACTGGAAAGGTATTATTCAAAGTAAATAATAATATATCAAGCATTCAAATTCTCAGTATTCCTGAAGTGAAGTTTATGGCATTTAAATCTAACACTGTTTCTCCATTTAACAAACTTATCAGTTATGTTCTACGTAGTAGAAGACAATTTATAGCTTCTGTTAGGGATAAAAAGATGAAACAGGCTTAGTTCTTACATTATAATAATAATATTATATAGCATAATATAATACAATAATGTAAGTAATAAAAATAAGCACGTTAATGGAACCAGGGATAAAAAGATGAAACACGCCTAGTTTTTACATAATAATAATATTATAGAGTATAATATAATACAATAATGTAAGTAATAAAAATAAACATGTTAATGGAACTGGTGTGGTGACTTATTCCTGTAATCCCTGCATTCTAGGTAACTGAAGCAGGAGTATCAGAAGTTTAAACCTAGCCTGGGTAACTTAGCAAATTACCGATTCCTTATCTCAAAATAAGAAATCAAAAAGGGCTGGAGGGGTAGCTCAGTGTAAAGGCCCTGGGTTAAAACTGTAGTCCCCTGAAAAGGAGTATTAATGGCTTTTAATACAGGGCAACATTACAATGTCCATGATAAGTAGAGCTTTGATGTTAAGGGTGTTCTAAGTCAGGTAAATTGTGGTGGGAATTTTGTATACTGTCACACGTGTGCCTTCCACTTAGAATAACCAAAGTTTGAGGTTACTTGTTATATTTGCTTACAATATTTGTACTTCATTAAT